TATTGATAACATATATATGTTTTTAATTTACATTTTTGCCAAAGTTATGAAGAAGGTTCAAAGGTTCTTTATGAAAGATACAAGAGTCACTAGTGGCTCTTCAGCCACAGGTTGTCAATGTGTTGCTTCTGTGTTTGAATGATCTAGTCTAATCCAGACCTAAAGTGAACTGAAAACCTGTGACCCTGAGTTTGAGTTGTGCAAGACTCGCAACTGATATTACAAAGAAAAATAGTGCAAGATATCAGATCATTGTGAAAAATTAAAAAGTCATGTTCTTTTCTTCCCACTCAAGGCAGTGAACACTTGTACTGGTTAAATCTCCATTAAAACATTCAACTTTGAGGTTTCAGATAAATAAATAATAGTAATTCTTCTTGATTGAAAAGCATGCAACTGAGGTGAAAAAGTCTGACATGTCCTTTGTATTCTAATGTAACAACAAACTTCAGAAGAGCATGTGCCATACGCAGACCAAACAGACTCAGTAAAAGTGAATGTCTGTTTGAAGTTAGCTCTAACCCAGTGCTTCTCAATTCCAGGCCTCAGGCCTCCCTGCTCTGCATATTTTAAATGTGTCTATTTTATAACAGCTGATTCAAATGATTACATGACCTCTTCTGCTGTCATCAAGTACTGCAGAAGGCTGTTAATTCCTTGCAGATTCAATCCAGTTGTGTGGCAGGGGGCCTGAGGACCGGAATTGAGAAACACTGCTCTCACCTGTGAGCATTGAAGTTTGAGCTGGGAAAAGAAACAGCTGCTGACCTCTCACTTTTACAGGTGCTGGAGGTCATGATGTGACGTATCAGCCCGGCTCACTACTTCCACTGACGAACACTTCTGATGGATGATTCTGCCTGAGTCATCCTCACCTCAGCTGGAGAGAACAAACAGAACATGTCTGACTTATGTTTTCTACATTTGGCATTAGCTTCCAGCTTCCTCCTTCACCACATCAGGCTTCTGCATCAGAACATAAAGAAATGTTTGTTCTGATTCTTGTAAATGGCACGTTGTGGTTCAGTCAGAGAATAAAATGAGTTTTAGATACTTAGGCAGTGTCATATTTTATTTTTGGGTTATAACTCCACTAGTTACAACCCAATTGGCAAGATGATGAAATGAAGGAAAGTGAATCAATAAAACTTCAGGAATTAGTTTGAGGTCTTTAACTCAGTTTTTTTTCTTTTATAAACGTCATATTTTCACAATGTTATTCATTCATTTGTAAATGTCAGTTTTAAACTAAATACTTGGTTAGCAGGTTGAATAACTAGTTAGCTTACAAACTAAATAGCTAGTTAGCAAGCTAAATTTGGCTAGCACAGAGCTAAGTATTTAGTTTGAAGCTAAATAGTTAGCATTAGCTTGCTTGCTAAATACTAATGAAGCTATATAGTTAGCCTGTAAACTAAAGAAACACCTAAATGTGAGATCCAGATTTTTCAGTGTAGGGCACGAAAAAATGAAATAACTCAGAATCCCAGAAAGAACAAACGAAGGTGGTTTGATTTCAGTGACCAAAGCTGCACAATCTGGAAACAAGACCGTGAATCTTGCCTGGACCGAGAAACAATGAGCTGTGTGAGGGAGTGATGTCACCTTGAAAACCCGACACAAAGAAATCAGCAAAACAACATCCATCCTCTGTAAACTGAGAAACAAATTTAGATTTAGATATTTCTAGGTGTTAGATAAAATGACAAAGAATGCAATCAAATCAGGACTGTCTCACTTTCCTTTCTTCATGAAAGCAGTGTTTTAATGAAGGTGCTTCACAAAAGTGTGCATTAGCTTGTAAAAATGCACGTGTAAAAACCACGTCATCTGTAGGTGTCTCATGGTAACGAATGTGTTGTGTGTGAGACACTGTTAAGATTAGAAAAAGAGACAAATACCTTCTTGTTGCAACATGAAGTAAAAACCAACATAAAAGCCTTTTCCTTTCAGTTTTTGACCCAGTTTCAGTATTTAGTTTTCTCACATCTTCTGCAACAAGATTACATATTATTTATTTATTTATTTATTTATTAACAGTTTTGTTTTTCAGTTTGTTAGCACAAGGACATTTTGGAGTAATTTACTAGGACAGGATTTTTATATCACAAAATTTCTGCCATTGTAACAGTGCATTGTGTTTTTCAAAATTGTGTAAATATTTCTTTCTTCTTGTTCTGACTTGTTTCTTTTCTGTGCTCTTCTTTTGTCATTTTCTTTAGTTTTAATCTTCTAACTCTTTCCCTGTGTAACCTGCATGCTGTCCTTGGATTTTCATTTTATTTGCTTTTTTACGTTTAGTTTTGGTTACCTTTCTTTGCCACTTTAGGATTTTCGTTCCTCCCAGTAATTGCATTACATTTGTATTAAAGTTTTTTCTTTATGTCTCAGCATTGCAATCGTTTGTTTTCAATCACAGATGAAAATAATGTCATGATTCTGTTTTCTAAATTTAAATTAAGATTTTATGGGCTTGCATATATTAAAAAGACATTCACTCTCAAGCTGCAAAATAGAACATTTACAATTTTTGAACTTTGGAGGTCTTTTGAAAAGCTGTTAAAGTGAAACTAGAGTATTTGTTCACACGTGGTTTGTTTGTTCAAGGCGTGCTTCTCAAATAATGCCACTAGAGGGCAGTGTTGCGCTGTAGGAGCAGACAGATTGGTTTTTAGCTGTAGGGTCATGATTGCAGGACATTCTTCTGCTGGATTCATATGATTCCATCAATTATGGTAAGGCGTCCAAGTCACCTCATATTACCTCCATGTTAAGCTGTCAGCATGATGCTCTGCTTCTGAAATGCTGTGTTAGCTTTAGGTCAGATGTGACAGTCAAACACATTCCAAAGGATCATCAAGTCAATTTTTGACAAACGTGAGATGGGCCTTCATGTTTCTTTTTGATGAGCAATGTGTTTGGAATTGGAACTGCTGTAATGTGTGTTTTCGAGGCTTGTATCACCATTTTATAGCACAATCATGACACCTTCAGCTGTTATAAAAATGCTATATGACATACGTGATTCTCACTGAATTTAGTAGTGCACTGCCTTAATTTTACAGTAAAAAGTTAAGAGGGTGCTACTTGTCCAATGGGATTTTACAGTCAGTGTGTCAGATTTTTTTAAAAATATGCAATTTGTAAAAGGTTTTGGAGCTCAAATAGAAATTTGATTCTTCAGAGCAAAACAAACTGGCATGCTACTTCGTGTTTATTAAACCTGGTTAGTCCATGGGCCAGACCATTTTTTGTCCATTTCAGGCCGACAAAGTCTATCAATAGTTTATGAAAAGATACATGTCTCGAGTTAATATTTTGGTATGATAGCACTTCCAAAATGGGAGCTGAGTCATAGTTATCAGCTCATGAAGTTAACGACCCCTTTGGACAAATTCTGTTTTTTTGAGACTGGTGTATGTATGGGCATCGGTCAAAGGTCTGTAACAGTGTTTTGTATCATCTTAAAGGGGTTTCATTTAAGATGACCACAACCTGCTTTCATTTAAACCAGGTTGTGAGTCTCTCTGCCCAACACAGAGGTCACTAGAGCTTGTTAAACCAAAACTAATACACGTTTTGACCAAATCGGATACATTTCCTTAAGCCCTGTGGGATCCAGGAACATTGGGACACAAAAGTTAAGAGTTAGTTAGGTGATGCATTTATTTAATTCAAATTCAGGGTTACATTAGTAATTCTAAAGGGAAATAAGCTACAATAAATTAAATACTATGTATGTATGTTGATATCTAACAAAGTTTTTATTGTTGTCTGTTTAGTGTTGTTTATTTTTCAGAACATTTTTTTTACTCCAGTCAGGAGGGAGAACTGTAACTTGAACCGAGGCAAACCTCTCCAACTCTGTGGAGAGGGTTTCAATCTTTTTCTAGTTATTTCCTAATGACAGGATTGTGTTTTCCAGTTCCTCATCTTCTAGAAATGACTGACTTATTCAGGTAGTTGTTTTTATACTTCACTTTATTTGTAGTGGGTTTCTTTTATTATTATTACTATACATTAACGGCTTTCTGTTTGTAAGGCTTGTAAAGTTGATTGACTAAATGAATGGAAATTTGTGGATTCCTTTTTTCACTCACTGCTTACTTGCCATCCTGTTTGTTATTTGCTCAGACCAGTTTCTGGTTCCCTGATAAAATTAAGGCTTTTCTTTGCCGGATCTCTCTGGACTTTTGATTTCTTGCTCTTTCTCCAAAACGCTTATGCTTGGATGTGTTTCTCTGTAATTAAAGACACTTTGAAACTGCTTGCACAGACTTTTTCCAAGTAAACACAGCACAACATGTTTCAGGATAAAAGCTGGAATGCAAGCCTTCTTAATTTAATTAACACTGTCGTCACTGAAAGTCACCTCTGAGGAACCTGGAATATCACAGGGAGAAAAACTTTGAAAATGTGGTGAGGTGACTCCATTTCATTCTTGACATGATCGTGTCAGGAAGTGGATCATCTGCTTCTTTTTCCCTCAGGCTGAATAATCATGCACTTAGTGTAAATCAAGCTGAGTACAGTTAGTTGCCTTCAGATCTCAAGAAGGCATAACCCATTACTAACCCATTACTCAACACATTTATTTGTTCAGCTTGTGTCCATGGAAACATAATACCAAAGTTGTGGAAAAAATAAATAAATAAAACAAAAGCTTTTGTATAGCATCCTGAAACCTGTCTGAGGATTTTGATTTCAGACCCAGACCCTACAGGGTGGAGGGCACTGCAGCTGGAAGTCATTTTTTCAGCAACTCCAGATTTGCCCGAAGCAGCTTCATGTGTTTGTGTGCTGCCCAGCAGAAGGAAAAGAAAAGAGAAAAACAGTTACCAACTTTCCTGCATGAATCATTATACAATTAGATTTGCTATGACTCAATATCACAAGTAAAAGAGAACAAAAACGCCACTGTTACGGCCTCACTTTCTTAAAGGGGCAGGCGTTTGCTCCAGCTTTCTGCGTGATGAAAGAACAAATAATAACAAGCACAATGGATTATATTAAATTTTATTTGTGCATGGTGTGATAATGTAAATAAAAGGAAGCAAGAAAGAAAAACTATTTCTTACAAAGAAAAATAACATGTCACCTTCAGAAGTTAAAAGTTCTCTTTTAAGAAAGAAGTGGGTGCAGAGATACTATCAAATCCTGTGAAAAGACAGCAGGTGAGCGAAAGGAGGCAGATGTTTAAAGTGAGCTTTTTGTGTCTTGATGAGATAGAACTCCAACCCTGATACGGGCCTGGTTTTGCCCTGTCCGGTCCACCCAGAGAGGAAGGTGAAAACAGAGCCAAGTAGGAGTCTGTGTGATGCATCCAAATCATCCAGACGAGCACATTTTCTGCCTCACGTCTTAATTCCAATGCATTAACCTGTGGAAGCAGTGCGGGGTTTCACACCAGCTCAATACAGCACATTCTAAGGTCAAATTCCACTGCTGAAAAAAGAAAGTAACGGCAGAAACACAAAATATTAACAAGTGGTTTTGGTCTAGTTTCCACTGCAATTGTCTTATTCCACTTGAAACATGACAAAACTAACTTACAAGCAATTTTTCAGCAAGATATCAGAGCTGGTTTAAAGTAAATCACCTGTAATGTTCATGTAAAATTGGCAGATTATTTCACTTATAACAAGACATGTTGCTCATACCAGTGAATAAAGTAATTTTTCATCAATATTAAGGAACTATTATATATTGCTGAATATATACATGTAAAGTTTGTCCTTTTTTATGACAGTGCTTTAGATATAAGAGAGAAAGGTAAGAATAATTTCCTTCAAAAAAAAAAAAAAAACTGACTTCTGAAAATGTCCAGTTTGAAAAATTCAACAAGACTTTTCAAATTCATTCTTTTCCAGAAAGCCTCTGAGATTAATCTCAAACTTTAAAAACTTTTTCTACACTCAGAAATTGATGTTCTGGTGAAAATTTACTTCTTTCCTCTTTGGTACAATGGCCCTAATATGCCTTTGTATATTTCAAGAATACTAAGATATTTAATCTAGAAATTAGGCCAAAAACATTCAATAAGGTTTTTTGTGTTTTTGCAGTGAAGGAGATGTTAATACCTTTCCAGAAATTAGTGCACTGGAATATTTTTTACATAACCACATAAATGGCACATGTGGCATATTAAAACAATGTAACATAACACTTAAAAAAACCCTCAAGCTCTTTATGTTCAAAACACTCTGAAATTGTAAATAGTGTGAACAATAAAAGGCAAAAATTTTTCTAAAAATGTGAAAAAAAACCTGAAGGCACATAATCAGAATATCCTGTCATACACTGTGGTCATGAAGGCACTGTGGTGAACTCTGCGGTGCAGAGAGGGGATGTGGTGTAGGAACAAGGCGGTGATTTGGTGGTGGTCGGGGGTGTGAGGGTGCTTACAGGAGATGGCTTTCTGCACGTCGAGGCAGCGTGGTGGGCGTGGCGGACGGCGAGGAACACAGGTGAGTACAAGCAAGACGGGCGGGTTCAGTGTGTCAGACTGCTGGAGAAAAGGAAGCGAGGCTAGGGAGGAACAGTTGGTGAATGAGGATGTTTTTTGGGGGGCTGGGAGGTTATGGAACGGCAGCAAGTTGTTGTGCCACTGTGCAAGTGAGCATTTGCTGAGTCAGACAGAATCCAGCAGTGCTTGCCTTTTGTCTTTGACCCCAGTGTCCCCTTTAGCCTTCGCTTTGCATCTGACCATCCTGCCCCGGACTACCGGCCCCAAAACCAGAAAACACGAACAACAGCAGCAGACCCCGACCTTCTCGTCTTAACACGGATTACACACGGAATGACTCTAATGAGAGGATACGACATTTTGTCGACTGTTTGCTTGACAAAAGAAACAGCACTAAAAAAAAATCACACACATACATACACAAAACCAAAACCTCAAGAAAAACCCAGAAGAATAACCCTTTGAATTTTTGGGGTGCCCACCTGGTTGGCTAAGCCGCCTTGGAGAGAAAAAACAGAGAAAACAGAAAGGCTAGCCCAGGTGATGGGTGACCTCGCCTCTTCCCCTCCAAACATCCCTCAACCTCTTATTTTTCAGAGGTCTACTTTTTTTTTCCCATTCCCTAACTTTTCGTTCTATCTCACTTTTTCCTCCCTGCTGTGATTTGCAATGAATCCTCCTCTTTTCTTGTGTTTCTCGTGCATTTACACCTCCTTTGTTGTGCGGAGCCGGATGTTGCTGAAGCATTTGCCCATGGCCTCGAACAGCGGGTCGCAGAAGGTGTGGACGAAGATGGAATAGACGCGGCTGATGCAGTGGGTGTCGATAAGGTAGCTCTTCACGCATGGCACCACGACCCAGATGTGGACAAAAGAAAGGATGGCAAAGAAGATTCCCCAAATCAGAGCCAGGGGAATGCCGACCAGTGCCGTCAGCAGCCGGTAGCACCAGTACTTGGTGACGGTGAAGGTGGTGAAGCTAGCTTTCCACACGCCATCAAAGCTGTAGGTTCCCGCAGGCTCTGCGATGATGTCCTCAAAGTCCACCTGGAGACAAGGAGAGCAGAAAGACGTTGGCAAACACTGGATTGATTTATCAAAGGTTCTGAAATGTACTCAGTTACATTTTACTAAAGCTAGAATCTAAGTGAGATCTTTTTGCTGGTCAGAACAAAATATATTAGAATGTTTACCAGACACTAGCAAAACTGCAATTAGCAGTTAGCCAAACTGCAATTAGTTAAATTTAACAAGGCATAATTGGTCAAAATGAAGGTAGTGAAGGTAATGGTACGTCACAATATTTTGTAATTTGACCTCGTTTTGTTGTGACTTCCAAATCACAGAAAATAGCTGAGTTGGTGCACAATTTTCAGTAGTTAGCATAAATCTTAAATAAGTACCTTTGTTTCAGTCACAAAGTTACATTCGTTCATGTAGAACAGATATTCTACATGTTATGTAGAAAATGACATGTTTTTGCCCATTCAAACCAGACATTTAAAGAATGAAAGCTATAAGTTATTGTCCTGGCAGGAATAAGAAAGAAAGGGGAATGAATGACATCGTGGGAATGTTTGAATTCTGAGAGACTAATTCCAGAAACTACAAACAGAAACAAAAATGAAAAGCTGTTTTTGAGGGGAGAGTGTTCCCAGTAGAATAAATCCCTATCAAGACATGGAGTACAAAATCTTACTGATAATAAAGTAATAATGATGGTAATCTGGATGGACGGTTTCCATGGAAACCATGCAATCTTATTGGAGCAGCTGACAAAGGACAAGTTTGTCAAAGAATTTATGCTTCTGTTCCTCATCATCTTACTCCCTTTGAAGCAAAAATAATTACACATATTTAGAGATATGTGGAAAGGTTTAAATTGTAGAAATATGTTGTTTTGCTAATTCCCTGAAATTATACATTTACCAAGACATCAGTGAAGGACACTGAAAATGTATGTGGATTAAAATGAGCTTTCGTTAAGGTTGTCGCTATCAAAATTTGACCCCGAATGGATCCAAGTCATTCAAGACTGAGCATCTGCTGATAGAGTCCCGCTGTCATGCCACATTAAAGTTACAATAAATGTTTTGATATGACTCATTGATAACTTGACTCGTCATTACACATTTCATTAAAATTCCAATTAGATTTTTGCAAAGAGATGATATACAAACAGGAATAAGTTAAGGTTTTTTTCCCCTTAAATTCATAATATTTAGAAATATAATTTGATCTAACCGAGATATCCAGAAGTTGTAAATGTTTGCTACCTCTGGATGAAAAATATGTGACCATATAAAATGAAAACTTTAAAATGAAATTCAAAAGCAGACTGACCACATTTGTCAGCTAAGAAGGATTGTAATTTGAATCCTTTTTTATTCAGATATCCTCAAAATATGTTAACACAAGCACTGTAAAAAAACAAAACAGCACTGTAAAAAAAAACAGGAATGTAAATGTTCAATACATTTGTGTATGGAAACTGGCCTTTTCTATCCTGATCTCCAAAAAAAGAAAGAAGCAGAACAGTGAGCTGCTGCAATCGTTATCATTCGTTGATTGTCTTCTGCCATTGAGTAATATGTTTCACAAGAGTACTGATATGGAGTAAATAAAACCACCAGACAGGCTTGATACCCTGAACTCATTATTCCAACATAAATCAGGTGCCTCGGTTCTTGTGAAAGTGTCAGTTCTGCTGAATTGCAGGGTGGGATTCCTGACAAGATTTATATCTCTCTGTGCTGTGGCTGGTACGCAGTCCAACATCTGCCCAACCCAAAATACTCATTTCTGCACTCCTCCACCCTCCCCCACACCACACACACACACACGCACGCACACGCATGCACACACACACACTCATGAAAACAACTCAGTCTCTGGCATCTGCTCTGTTGTCTCCAGATCAGCTTCAGGTTATGTTTCCAGAGAATCCTGAGCAGTAATTGATTGGACAAACAGCAGAGAGAAGGAGACATTCCAGCCGTGTCTGAGTGACACAGATCCTTTTATCACCTGCCATAAATCAGAGGCAGAGGGACGGCTCTCTGCTTAAAGTAGGAGGCTCCCTGCTGGAGGTCCACACCTGACCTGAGCTGTTAAGGAGAAGAAAAAAAGAGACGCCGGTTGTTCTCCCTCCATTTCTGCCTCTCTTCCTCTTCACTGGCTTCTGACTCCATGTTTATTTTCCAGCTACATAGAGACTGGGTTTTGTCAGAGCGGCCGACACGCTGAGGGCTAATGGGTGTAAGTCAATAAGTCAGCAGATTAATCCCCCAGTGTCATGTTGACAGTAAAACAGAAAAGTGAACTGTTTCATTTTTTCTAACTGATCCACCTGTTGGGATGCCTGCTTACACAACCTGACTGTAGAGGTTAAGAAAAGGCATGTCCTGGTACAGACGGATGATTTTAAATCATTGGATAAGAACCAAAGTGGCCAGCTGGCCTTCAGCTGGAATCATAAAAGTAAAAATCATCTGGAAGTGTTAGCATTCTAGCAAACATAGAATGCTAAATCTTCTAAGCTTGCTAGTATCGGAAGATATTTTTAGGCGTTTTTGGAGCAAATAACTGTGTTAATGTCACATGAACAGATAATTAGCCTTGAATCTGTATGTACACATTCTTCTGTAAATACCTACAGTACCTGAAAAATGTTGTGTGGTGGAACGTTGATGACATTATTGAAAGTATACTTTACTGCAATTTTTTTAAATTTTATTTTATTTTACCTTGGCACAAAATGATCAGCCAAAAAAAAACAAACAAAAAAAAAAACGTTTATAACCAAAAGGATTATAGGAATGGTATTTATAATTTTAAACTCAAAAATGCTTTCATTTTTATTTTTTCTAAATTTCAACTGAACGGACACCAACTTGTCATTAATTTGGCCTCAATTTGGAATGGATTACCCAAAACTAGAAAAAACATTTAGGACATGCTTAACTCCACTATCCAGAAACATGTAGATTTTCCCTGAATGTGAGCACCGGGTGACTGCCGTGCTGACAGTGAGTGGCTGAACATGGAAGCAGTTCAGGCTTTTAAAGACTTTCATATTGTAAAAATAGTTTACAGATTTCCTGTGTTTGGTTTTTGTTTAGCACACCTTATAATCATTGTAATAGTTAAAAAAAAATCAAGGATAACTTGAGCAAATGCAGAAGCTATCCAAACCGAACTGATAAACCTGACTTTATTTGTCTGTGTGATAAAGTAAAGCCAACTAAACCTTTGAAGCTGATTCTAAATGCCCTTTTGTGTGAGTATTTAGTCATTTTTTGACCCTGCAGTGGACTGGTCACACTTCCAGAGTGTGTGCTGCCTCTTGTCAAATACACGCTGTGAAATAAAAAAAATTTGCAGGTTGTCCACGAACATTTCTTTCAATGTCAGAAAGATGTCTGGCTGAGGGTGAACCCCTTCACCCTGAGCGGCTGCTTCAGCTGCAGCAACAGGGAACTGGCCACACAACCAGCCGTCCACCATTGAACTTTTCCACTGTGGAGCGACTCTGCGCCAGTTTCCTCAACTGTGTTTGAGACTAAATGAGAGGCTTTCTGCAGAGAGGCACAAACATGCCTGGTAAGTTGAGGTGCTTCATCAGCTGTTGCTGTTTACAAACAGTCATGGAGAGAATAGCAGTCAGTCAGCCGGTCTCCTGCAACTTTTAGATGTGTCTCTACTTCAACACACCTGAGTCAAATAATGAGGTCATTAGCAGGACTCTGGAGAACTTGACTGCATTTAGGAGGTGATTCAGCTGTGTTGGACCAGGGACACATCCAAGAATTGCAGGATACTGGCCCTCAAGGACCAGGATTGTCCACCCCCGATATATACTAGAATATATACTGAAATGATTAATCTGATTAATCAGCATAAATTAGGACAAAAATGTACAAAACTTATACACATCATGCATCTAAGATGAAAAACCTTCTTTGTGTGTAAAAATATTTGATCTTTGCCTGGTTTGAAATCAGTAATAAAACCCATCAAGCACCTTTTGCTATCTAATTATTAATAAAAACAATAATCAGGAGATCAGCCCTTCTCTGTATTGATAAATGATGCAGAAAAGCCTGAACTTTTCACATGTTGATGTTAGAAGTGCTGTTTATCTGCAGATGCATATTTTCCTACAAATGATCACTAAATGCTATTGCTTTATAGGCAAAAAAAATATTTTTGCTTTTAAAAAAAAACAACTGAATTTAGTTATTTGTATTTTTAAATATATTTCTAATATTGTATGAAAAAAGTGTAGTGGTTAAATGAAAAATCTGCAAAATGTGCAATTTTTTTCACCAATTAATCAACTAATTGATAGAATAATAATCAACTAATTGATAGAATAATTATTAATCAACTAATTGATAGAATAATTTGGTGAGGAAACATCTTTCCTCACCAAATAATGATGTGGAGAGGAAACATGTTTCACATGACCTCTTCAGTGAGTTTATTGCAGAAAATTTCAGAGACAAAGGATTAAAGAGATTCTTGGGTAGGAGCTGGTGGGTGTGGAAGCGCCGTGGTCCAGTTGGAGGTTTGATATGAAACAACAGAGTCTGATGGTCAGCATGTGACCTGCTGGCAGAGTAACTGTATTATTGAGTAAATAAAGCCAAGCTCTTAGCAGAGCTCTATGTAGAAGCAGCCGGCCAGGCTTGAGTGGACAAAATGACGGTCACACGGTGCTGCACTGATGGACCCTCCACCAGGCAGAAGGCCTCAGTCGTCAGGGACAAATGAATATTTGTTTGACTGGAGGCACCGATTAGAACCAACGCCTGTACAGATGAACTATTTGGGCTGATTTTTTCACATCATTTTGAAAACTTAGCTGGATTAGAATGAATGCGTTCATGCTTTTACATTTGTAAAACATTTTAAAAACATATGGATGTATATATTCATACATCCATACATTTTACAGATTTTCTCATGTTTCTTCAGTGTATTTTATTCAGATTGTTATAAGCCAAGAAACAGCACATTTCATAACACTGCGGAATAAAAGAAAA